TTCTGTATCTACATCTATGTTTTCCTGTACAAAGCTTCACAGGTTGTAGTAAGCTGTCTTTGTGACTCTGGCGTTGGCTTAGGATGCTGAATTCCTRACAGCACTGCTTTTTATCCCTTAAATGGAGACAGTGAATTGCCATTGAGTTATGTGGGTCRGATTATCAATAGCTGTCACAGCTTCAATTTGTTATGCTAATTTTATTGCAGTCCATGTCCTTGTCCTCTTGTTTCAGCCTAAGTCACTATAAGCCACTAATGAATATTACAAGTACCTTCCTGTGAAGACTAGCTGACCCCTCTCCTTCAATCCCTGAGGAAGATTGCATCCTTCTTAGATCTTTTTCAAGTTCATCTCTGAGACCTTCAGAAACATAACGCTTTTAATTCCAGACTTGCCCTTCCATCTAGGTCACCATCATAGAAACCAGTTAACTTTTGCCATGCCAATACCYGCAGAGTACCACTGTGCAAAAAGCAGAAACAAAGTGCTGGTGGGATTTTACCAGTTTCTAAATATCAGCCTCAAATATGTATCTTGCTCAGGTGAATTGCCTTCTGTAGAAGGTCCTTCTTTGGAGGTCCTTGTCAAAGGGGCAATGAAGTTCCAACCCTTCTAAGCCTGTGAGATATGGAATGTTTAATATCTGTTAAAGTGGCTATAGACCAGGGCTTTTTTGATTACTTTTTAGAGGCAAAAATTGGGGACAAGTTAAAAGCATTCCCAAAACCATGACTATGAGGAAAGAGCATTGCTTCCTATTGTACAAGTATATGTGTGTTCCCTTTTCTTCCCCTGCAGCATGAGATGGGCATAAGTGGAATGTGGTTTTGCATCCTCCAGATCTTATGSCATCAGTGTCCCCCCATTAACATACACCCATGCTGCTTCCTCTTGTCTGTCCTTTATGGACAGTTCTGAGACGCAGCGTCAGTTTTCTGTTGCTTCCAAACATTGCTTTAAAAGCCTGTTAACTGTGCTCTGTTTTGTGATCCTTCCTTCTGTCCTTGAGGTCTTTCCACACTGGTACTGATAATCTCCTCTGTCCTCTGAGCACTGCTGTGGAGGTACAAGCTCAGTGTTTCCAGTCTGTGGGTGTTCTCTTTTCTCCCTCTTCCTCCTCCCTATGTGTTTCTCTCTGTACAGGTCCCAGGCTGAGGAGCTGTTACTGTAAAATCCCTGTCTTGGGTTCTGCACCTCCTTCCCGAGTAAACTCTGGGGGTTTATTGCAGAGAAGCAACAGTGCAGCATTTTCTATTAAAGAACTGGYATGAAGTCTTGTACTTGCAAGGCAAATTGTAAGAACAGTTTTCCAACCCTACCCTTGCAAGAGTGGCTTTTCCAGGGCTCCAGCTGGTGATGGTGACTGTCAGCAGACAACTGAAATATGTCCAAATAGGACCCATGGRTTATAGGATTAAAAAGTTTTTGTTCTTACATTGTGATCCCATTGCGACCTTAGAARTGCAACTTGTTTAAGCTAGAATTCAGTATACAGGTTATCTGCTTCCCAATTACTTTAKATCCTTGGTGGATCTGTAAGTTAATCTTGAAAGCATTCACTGCTTAACATGAGTTTTTTCCTGTGTGCAGAGTGTTCTACCATATTATGTGGCAACAAAAATGTCCAAAATTCGCAAGCCGACCTTCGATAAGCCCAGTCCTGAAACGTATGTCAGAGCTGCCTTGGGCACGGTGGGCCTGCAGTCCCAGACCAACGGGTGCCTAGCTCATGCACTCATGGTAAGTGTCCTCGGAAAGTATAAGGATCTGGAATGTCCTTTGTGTTTATTATGGAAAAAGAATCATAATACAGGCTGTAAAATCTGAGACCTCACACTCTCCCTTTTTATTTTTTCTTTTAGGGATGGGTCTTCTCTTTTCTACCTACATCTGCTACCATTAACATACTCTTGAATGTAAACAAACACATACGGGCTCGTTACTTAAAAAAAATGAAGGAGAAGTAGGTTGGAGGAAACTTGATCTTGGGAGCCTAGGATCTCCTGCAGGTTCCATACCATGCTGCGACATCAAGTAGACCTAATGTTTTAAACATCTCTAATCATAGGTGTGCTTTCTAACAAGCAAAACAGTCTTGTTCTGAGGATATACAGATGAAATAAAACTGTTGACTTCTAATAATTGAAAWATAGGCTTTACTTCTTTATAGATATTTTGGGGGGGGAAGTGCTTCAAACTAAAATTGCACTGTGCTTTAAGAAATACTTTCATGGACTTGATCAGACATCGCGCTGTTGAGGAGCATCTTGGTTATATAGTGTCCATCATATCTATTATTGTGCTCATGGGTGAAGGGCAGAAAAAGAGTAGTTCTCATATATTCCTGGACAGCTGGGCACAAGAGGAAAGGGGGYGTATTCATTTGAAAAGGTAACATAGCACGGTTTCCTGACTATTGAAGTCTTGAAGTTTGGGTTTTGGATACTTGCAAGGRTTCTACACTATCAGTCAGCTCATGAGTGCCCCCCTGCTTACATGATCCAGTGTGTYTTTTTGGTTATGAATCTGAGGGAAATGGGCCAAAAACCAAAACAAAGTGTAATTGCTCATCTATAAATATATACATAAAGTATATACATRTAAACATTGCGGAAAGCATTTAAAATCTTGGGTCTTGGATATGGATTCTAACTTTTCAGTAATATGTAATCTTCACAATTTGTAATAACCTTTTTAAAAGTTCGGTGCCTGCTCTTTGTAATAGGTGGTGATAACACAATGTAGATAAATGTCACAAGTTACATGTTATGTGCTGGTTGCTATGTAAAAGATTATGGGTACTTTAAATGCAGAGCTTGAAATTAGTWACTCTCCTTGTTAGCAGCAGTGGTTAAATTCTTTTTGAAGTATGTATCACTCTGTCTTTTTGGTGAGGTCCTTTGAAATGTGAATCCTGACTATTTAGACAGATTTAAAAATGAAAATCAGGAAATGTCTTAAAATGTAGAACAGTTTTAATTTAATTGCATTAAAATTACCTGATTTGTTTCATGGTTCTGTTCCAAAGTGGAATGCTCCAGTTACCTAACTTGAGGCTCAAGTTACCTAACTCCTGGACATGAGAAGTCTGCATTGCTGTTGTCTGTATTTACCTACACTTCATTTAAAGATTTTGGTCTCTTAACATTCCTTTTTATAAACATAAAAATGTATAAAACTTGCAAGGCAAATTAAATTGCAAGCAGCTACCACAGTTTTCTGTGGTGACTTCCTATGGTTGAAGAAGGGAGGTTGTTTTCTGTGCTTCAAAGAATAATTTCAAGCTCTGATTTTGAAGTAAGATGTGTTGCACTGAGACATGATTTGGGGCTAACATTTTCTGTACATTGAAAAAAACCTGAATACCGATGCAATGGTGCTGAYCAAATCTGAGATGCAGATCCTATCCCTTAGTTTTCTTAATTTTTTGGAACAGGGATGGTGAAGTTGGTGGTATTARTTCTCTAAGAGCACATGAGTTGGTTTGCTGTGGATCTGATGTGAAAGTATTGGACTAAAAAAATCTGTATGTTTTTGACTTTGTAAAACAAATAAAATGGAAATTACTCTTGCGTCTTTAATGTATTGTTTTTCTTCTTAAAAATGTTTTTCTGTACATTCAAGTGTCTCTGATTGTCCTCTATAGTGAGTAAAAACGCAGTGAAAATTACTGTACTTTTACATGCCAAAACCAAAGCTTTTATTAATCTGTTTTCCTGGCTGTTATCTACCCTGTGCCAGGAGTGCTTCAGGAACAGCATCTCTGGCCAGTTGAKGTAGGCAATTGTCCTGCTTTGCTCTGCGCTGGTGTGGCCTCACCCTGAATATCTTGTGTGCAGCTTTGAGTGCCACAATATAGGAAAAATAAAGCTGTTGTAGAGTGTCCAAAGGATGTCTATGAAGATGGTGAAGGGCCTGAAGGGGAAACCTTATGAAACGCAGCTGAGGTGAGTTGGTTTGTTCAGCCTGGAGAAGAGGACCCTGATGGGAGATCTCATCATGGCCTGGAGCTTCCTCACAAGGTGAAGTGGCATGGCAGACACTGATCTCTGTGGTGACCAGTGATAGSAACCCAGGGAACAGCATGAACCTGAGTCAAGGGAAGTTTTAGTTGGATAGTAGTAAAAAATTCTTCATTCAGAGGGTGTTTGAACACTGGAGCAAGCTCCCCAGGCACCAAGGCCCACTGAGTTCAGGAAGTGGTTTGGACAGCACTCTCAAAAAGCACATGGTGTGATTTTTGGGGCTATCCTGTGTAAGGCCAGGAGTTGAATTTAAGATGATGCTTGTGGATCCTTTCCAACTCRGGATATTCTATGATTTTTACACTGCTGATACTTAAAAATCAGTAGAACACAAATTGTATTGGAACTGTTAAGCTATTCATAAGTAATTATTTCCAAGTAACAATTTTCTAACTATTGAAGGTGTTTGGAAAGGTATGGTAGAGGGAATAGTATGCACATCCAACTGATAGAAGAAGGGATACCCAGGTAAGGGGATCCTTGGAACCTGTGGTGCCCCTTCATGTGGTGTTGGCAGACWGCAGGTTGGGTTCCCACTCTCATGCTTCCTTTGAGGTCTTCTATTTTCCAAGCTGCAGCAGAGAATCACTAACCTAAATTTTACTTGAACCTAAATTGCCTTGACTTTGATTTTGAATGTCTGTTCAACTCGGTAATTGTGGTAATATCTATTTAATAGCTGTCCACGTCCTTGGGACGAWCTTGGGCACCTGTCAGAAAACAGGAGGGGGTTTGTGGTGGCACCAGTTCCGTCCTGCCTCCATTAACGCTTTTGTTACCGGCGCCCTGCAGGACCTGGAGTGCACTTCCATTCCGTTGYTGGGATGGGACAAGCAGGGTGGGATGTGAATTGGGTGCCGATGGCTTCCCAGGGAGCGGGCACCTTTAATGGAAGCTCTGCCCCTTGCGTGCGGGGCTGGCGGGCGGAGCTCCGGGCCGAGGCGGGCCCAGGCAGGCAGGGCCGGGCCGGGCCGGGCCGGGCATGGCGGAGCGGCGGCAGCGGGCCCGGGTGCAGGGGGGCTGGGCCGGCGCTCCGGCCGGGCGGGCCGCAGGTAAGGAGCGCCCGCAGCCTCCTCGCTGCTGTGTGCGGCACCCCGGGCTGCCACAGCCCCTGCCCCTCCTGCCCCAGGGCGGGCATTTCTCCACTGCCGTCCTGGGGCCGGGCACCAGACAGCGGGGCCGGGCTCCGGCTGCACTTTCCCCYGAGGGGTGGCCCCGTTTCCCCCCGTTCCCGTCGGTAACTGGATTGTGGGTATTSGAGCCCAGTTTTTGTGTAAAATTTGCGTGTGTGCCACCGGTGCGGCGATTTTGGATGCAGAGTATTATGGATTTGTTGCCAATGTGCGCTTTGAGGTGAGCGCGTCGTTCGCAWCTCAGCGCTGCTTGAGACGAACAGCATTTGATGGAGCTGACTTCTGGAAGAACAATTAGATTTTATTCATAAAACCGTTATGTACCTTTGTTTAGCTTTTCACGGTGAAAACATTGGRAAATGAATTAGTGGAAAGGGATGGAATTAACATAATTTTTTTTTAACAAACATTGGAACCAAAGAGTGCAGAGGCAGAGGAGCACTTTGAAGGTTTCCAGTCTTGTAGGAGGAACTGATTTGTTTTTGTGAACGTGGTCAAAACGTGTTGCACTCACCTGATTACAGTTTCCATAAAGGTTCCGTATTTCTGCACCCTGAGCATCCTAGGCAAGCTTTTTTTAATCATGAAAAAAAAAACCTGTTTTGACTTGTGCATGTGGCCTCAAAATTTTTTATCACAGGTACATTTCATTGCTCCTATTCCTAAGGGGATTTTAAAAAAATACTTTCCCCATCTTTTGAATAATACGGAATGAAGACTTTGTGTTTCAGGCCTCTTTTGAAGCCTGTTTGCATGTGTAARTAACACATCTGAAGCGGTGTGCCTGAGTTGCTCTTCCCATTTCTCCCTGATTTAAAAATGCTCTTTTATTGGAAGTATTTTTCTCCTTTTTTTTCCCCCCTAAACATTGGAATACAGAAGGAAGCAGCTGAGCTGCATGGAGCAATTTCTCCTGGTTGTGTGGTAGGTGTTTGTGGTAGAATTGAAAAGTTACAGATGTTATCCTTTCTGATAAACGTATGTTTTCAGTTTTGTTTGCTCATGGATAACAAATATATATACACACATGCGCACCYATATATTTCTATATTAAGAAATTTCAGTTCCTGTGCAATTTYAACTCTTACTTTGACTCTTAGGTTTGGCAATTTCTTGGAATCTCTGCCAAGCAGAGGAGAATACTCCAAGGAATAATTCCCTAAGTTTTTCCTAACTGTATTTTTTGTATGGTGATATTCAGTTCATGTGATCCTTTTCTCTTTCTTTCTTTGCTTTAGCACCTAGGGCACCTGTGGCCAGCAGCCTTGCCCCTGCAGGTTCCAGACCAGCATGGARGCAGAMAGATCAGCCTCACGCTCRAAAGCAATTTGTCTTTGAAAAGCCATCAGAGGTAAAAATTACATGGTATCTAGCAGAATTTCATCTGTTAGTAAGCTTCAAGTGATAGAATAAAAATCGTTTGAGAGTATAGTCCATTGTTTAAAAACAATTAAAAACTCATCTGAACTGAACTTTGAGCTTTTACTAAGCAGACTTTGCAATTGTTTTGCATATATGGCAAACAGATAGCTACAGTCACTCTGTTTAGCTTTTTCATAGCTACTGTTATTTTTAGGGAGCCAAAAGATTATATTCTACTAAATATTCAGTGTCAATGTCCTAAGCATAGTTTGAGCTCTTCTTGCTTTTCTCAGTTGGGGTATCTGTCTTAACTTGTTACAGAGGAAGGGCGTGGGATTTGTTTTATAGACTTTATATCCTGTCAGCAGATGAAGGGTATTGTGCTCTGTGCAGAGTGAGGGCACTTCTTTGTTTGGGAAAAAGATAATAATGAGTACTTCTTATAAGTTAGACTTACTTGAATGACTGTCATCTTGGCTTGGAAGCATTGAAGATGTTCGGGGAAGATTCTCTTTTCTCTGTGGCAGAGAGCTGCTATCTATGTAGTACTAAATTTTGATCCTCTTGTTGTCTCAGTGCAGTAACTCCTTACAAATCAGAACTCCACTGAGCTCAGAGAAGAGAAGCATAAATCCCTGAGACAACCAGAATGATAGCCAAGGCTGGATTAAACTACTCTGCTTGTCTTTTAACAAAATAAAGCTATCTCAGCTGTGCAGACAGTTTTACAGTGTAAGCTGCTGCTATGTCTGGTCTCTCTTGTGTTTTGTTCATTTGACTGAGGCATGGCGTTTGTTCACGYTTCTTAGGGTTGCTCTGAATTTTTACTTACATAAGGATATTTTTGTAAATATAAAGACAAGAATTTTCTTGATTGTAGTTGATAAATAGCAAGTATTGTAATAATCCGTGTCCTTTAGGGGGCAGTTGATGGCTAAAAACCAGCCTGCGATAGTAGCTTCATTTGAGAGTTTCTGGGGCGAGGAGGGAGTGGGTGGGTTGTTACTATTTTCCTCTTGCCCTAAGGTGTGTTTTTCTCACTGGCTTACCATGTGTGGCTATGCAGWGTCACTAGAGATGGCCATGAGTTCTGTTTGACTGGAGAGTGCCAGGAACATTAATATTCACTGTGTACTGTCTTGTTACCTTTCAGGTGGAGCGCAGAGTTCCCGAGGCAGGCGTGATAGAGTGAGTACCYTGCTGATTTCTCTGTGCGCTTTTTCTGTTATCATGGTCGGTAGGAGCAGAAATTGTGGACTTTTAACCCTTTTGTCATGTGCTGAATGTATTATCAGGAGGGTCCAAGTCTGTTAACTGGTTTTTATGCCTTTGGTGTAGCTGGGAAGCCAGTAATTATGATCAGTTGGACATTCTGGTTCAGCACAACTGCCAGTTTGTCTCCTTTGGTTAGCATTGTACATTTCCCTGGAACAGTCTCACTGTAAACTATGCTRGAAGTTATTTACTCTGGAATATACCAGATATATGGCTGGTGTGGCAACTTCTTTTAGGGTTTGGAAAAGTAGGTGATAGTGTCTTAGTGAAGTTGTGTCATAGTGACTCACCCTTTGTGTTGAAATGGGGATCTTCTCAGGATAACTTTGGCATGAAGTATGGTGGTATATGGTGGAGTTTGAGGTACTGAAAATCAAACCTGATTCAGTTTGGCTATCTTGGTAGCATTTTCTTACTCARTGTGCCTATAAATGCAGAGGTAGTGGTCTGAGTGCAGTCTTGTATGATTGTCTCCTTTAGGGTCCCTGTAACATTCCTCTTATTTTTTCTAAGARTGTCAAAACTGTGTACTGAGCAGGAGGAGGGATAGGAAGTACACACAAACTCATTTGTTTCTGCARCACACTTTGCTCCCTTACTCTGACCTTTATGTCCAGGACACTATTTCTTCCCTTTTTAAACTTTCTTTTATTTTTTTCAAGAAAATAAATGGCTTTCTMGGTCTACAGCCGTTCTAGTTTGTGCTGTTCAGTCTAAGATAATTTCTTGTTATTTTTCTTTCTGATGGCTCTTTCCTTTCTACATCCACAGCAAGCCTGGTGTATATGAGCTGAGCAAGGGACCAACTGGCATTTCTAGGTAAGTGGATGAAACATAATTTGCTATTGCAGAGTGATGTTATACTCTGCTTTTCTGAAGTCCAGTCTCTGCAGAGGATTTTGACTTTAGCAGCCAGCTGCACACTGCCCTTCCTGTGCATCATCTGTTTGGAGTACTTCTGGAAATACTTTTGAGTGTCAGGTAGCAGGGACTTAGGTGATTGTGAGCAGCACTGAAGAGAAGAAAGGTAAATGTCTTGACATGTGGTGTGTACTGCATCTGGTGTTCTTTCCGGAATAAGGACAAGGAGCTGTGTCCATTTGTGTCATGATTCACAGTAAGTTGCTGCTGCAAATTTGGATTAGTATTSCTGTGTTAGAAAGTGTGTGATGTGTGTGTTGTACAGTTAAGAGCTGCCCAGAACTTGTAGCTGTAAATTAAAATAGTTCTAAATTAGTCTAATAAAAGCATTTAACTTTAGGTGATTGTGGTAACTTTAGGATTGTCCCTTCTGCTTATATACCATGCCTTAATTATTTCARCTTCAGGACACTTCAAAACAAAACCTACTTGTTCTGTGATTCCTGTTAAGTAAAACATGTTTTATCTTGCTAATTTAGCTGCAATACCACTCTTAATCCTGCTCTTCTGAATTTGATAGACTTTTAGTAACAGTAGAAAGAATGCCAAGAACATAGTAATTTCTTGTGGATTTATTTCAGTTAATTTCTTCTGATTATTGGATTGCGTTATTTTTGCCTTCATCTTAGTTTCTTCTAAAGATACAAAGAAAATTTTAAAGCATTTTGAAAAGTAAAAGCTTTGACCAGCTGGGAAGAGACAGRATACACAGGCAGCTGGGTTATCTTGCATTTTTTTGGGTTTGTTTTCATAATACGCTGATGGAATACATGTATTTCTGGAAAGTTTATAATCAGATTTGCATCTTTTTTTAACACCTTTACTGTATGCTCTTATTATGACATCTTTGGGGCATGGAATACTTGTGAGAGTGAACTGCTGTTAGCAGCATTCCTACTCTGAAGCCCACCTCGGTGGCTGTAATTCTTGGATGACTGTTAGTACAATCAAAATAYTAAATGTAGATATGGAAATGAAAAAACAGGAGACATTAAATACTGTTGTTATGTGAAATACTTTCCCTTATGCTTCGAAAAGGAGAATAGGAATTGCAGTAGGGATAAAGGGCTATCAAATTCCAAGTGATTCACCAGTGGAGCTGGTGAATAAAGGGCAATTATCTACTTATGTTGATTGTAATCAGGGCTAATAATAATATAATTGCTAACAATAATATAATTGTAATAATCAGGGCTATCTGATTTATCAGATATGAAATTAATAACAAGTAGAAGGATGCCATTTTTCACAGCCTATGGCTGATTCTGGGATTCATGGTCACATGTTTTCATAAGTTTTAAAAAGCAATTACATATGTTTGGTGGGGGTAGGACTCCACAGGAGCCCTTCTGTCCTTCACACCTGCTTTTGGCTGTGGTCAGAAACAGGATATGGGGCTTTGACTTTTTGTATGATGCATTACAGCCRTTTTTAGCTCCTGTGGAAATCTTGRAAATGAAAGTATTTTACYAAACCAGATACAAAAATGCATATTCCTTCCATTTTTCTTTTTCTTCTTTAGGATTCATTTGATTCCTGGCTTTATTGACTCAGAACAAGCAGACTGGATGTTTGAGCAACTCCTCCAAGACRTACCGTGGGGCCAGCGAACTCACATCAGACAAGGTAAAGAGTGTGTAAACCATCTTTTCAGGTCATTTACAGGTCAGTTCCATAACAGAATCTGTGCATTGTTTGTAATAGGTTTTCATTTTATGTATTGTGACTACAAGTTTCCTTGCAAGTTTTCCATTCATATCTGAAGACTTCTGCAGCCTACTTTTAATCTCTAATACCGTTGCCAACTAAATGAAATCTTTCCAAATTGAAATTGCCTGTCTTAAAAATCTTGGAATTTTACTGTCTCTTCTGTCATGTCCAGTTCTTTTTTCTCACTCATTTTTTAAGATTGTCTGGTCATCCCTTTGTATAAATCTCCCAGTGACGCTGCAGAAACTGTATTCATGGAGATTTCTTTCACTAAGTGTATTTTTTGCCTCTTTTACCTAAAATCCCAGCAGAGCATGTTCCTTTTCCTTTGGCTTTACTTATTAGTGCCATTATGCAGGAGAAGAGGCTGCTATTCTGGATTTGTTCGCTAAGGGGCACCTGTTCTAGCTAAACTTCACTTTCAGTCTCGAACGGATGTAAGATAATCTATTAGAGTAGTTACTRGACAGGGCTGAAAAATGTCTTCAATATGTGTTTCTTGCCTGGCAATAAAAGGACAGTATAATAGAGAATGTTACCCATCAAGCATGAGAAATAGTTGCCAAGATAGTCTTTTCGGAAGCTGAAAGTATTTTTAATCTGGTGTTTGTGTTATACCACAGAGCGCACACATATTTGACAAAATATTGTGTCCAGCCTTGTTACTTTTTGTTTCTGTTATGTCCTATGGATGCTACAGTCCTTTTCGATTCACTCTTTCCAGTGCATCCATCTGCATCTTGCAACTTAYGGCAGCATACTGGGCACTAGAACTAGAGAAGGTAAACCAAGCCAGATGTATAAATAAAATTTCAGATTCATTTGCTACCTTCAACTCATCCAGTCCCAACTCATCAGTCTAGCGCTGGGGTAAGGAAATGGATGTGCTTCTTAGATTTTGGAAGGTAATTCCTGCAGATGCAGACCTGATTCTGAGTAATTTCATTCCTTCCTTTGAGTTCATTATGTAAAGCTGAGGATTTTAAAGGGCTGCTTTTTAACTTTAGGTGAATGGACAATCTCTTTTTGATTGAGTTTCTTGACAGAATTGCATCATCTTTCCATTTTCAAATCCTTTAATAAAGCAACTGAGACACTRTTCCTGTTCTTTTTTTCAGAAACATCTTTTGAGGAACCACGGCTTACATCCTGGTATGGAGAACTTCCTTATACATACTCCAGGATAACAATGCAGCCAAATTCAAATGTATGTATATGTTGACATATATGTGTTTTATTATTGTCTACAGAGAAATCCTTTGCAGAGATCAAGAGACCAAAAATTCCCTCTGTCCTCTGTTCTACTTATCTAGAGTGTCTGTTAGCATTCCATATGTGATAGCAGCAGATTCTACTTCAATGTGGTCAGTTTTATAAAAAAACTCACTTTGTGAGTGAGTTAACAGAGAGGAGCATGATTTAGCTGCTAAATGTTGCCAAAAGGAAGTTTACTACTCTAGAGTTTAAAGTTTTGCTATGGGTCATTGTAGCTTTGGTCAAAATCTGAATTGCTCTATTTGACTTAYTCCAAGTATCTTTGAATGGGAGATTGTACTGCCCTGAGTTTTTGTTGTAAAGATACAGTAATACCAATTACTGAAATAGTTACTTTCAAAAACACTTAGGTTTAATACTGCTTAAGTGAGAGTTTAGGCATATTTTGGTTCCTCTGTGGCTGCTATGACATTCACACATGCAGCTGGTCTGCTCAGCAATTCCAGATTGTACCATATAATTTCCCACACTGTTTTGGAAGAGTTAAAAACTTTCTGAGTGACTCAGTAATGTTTTGTTCATGATTTCTCTCCTTCTCTCTCTCAGCCTGTTGTCCCATCAGCCTGTCTCTTGGTATTGCTTTGTTTAAAATTTCCATGGCAGTAATTAGGTGTCACTGTTGAAAGTTGGACAGCTTGAGAGCAAAGCATCTCAAATCCCAGAACTGCCTCCAAAGTGGGATACCTTCTAGCAGAGCTCAGTTTGGGAAGAGTTGGAAAGGTGTTATTTACATGATGAGTTGAGAAGATTTTGTAGTCTAAGAGATACTGTAGTAAAAAATTCTGTCACCTACAGAACTTGTGAAAAACCGGGCATTTCTTTGRTACTCATTTGTGAAGTGTTGTTTTAAATGAACTTCTCCAAAAACTGAATGGCTTTAGGGAGTGGAAGTGCCCTCACAAAATCATTCTGTTGTACTCTAATGATTTAAATCCAGTTCAGAACTGCCTGTTGTGAAACGTACTGTTGCTCAGAGATTGGATAGAGCCCATACACCCTGAATTCAAGGTTTCATAAAGTTTGCATAAAGTTCTGAGTTAGCACTCATTGGGCCACTAGCTTGTTTCTCTCACCCAAAATGTACAAGGCTTAAATGAGTCAGTCATGCTGGTTCTGTCTTTTATTCTTGAATAATTCTGCTTTTTACTGACAGAAGGAAACTCAAGCAGAAAGTGAGATGCACGGAAAAGTTGCATAGCTGGAAGGCAGCCCTTCCCCAGCTGAAGGCTACCCATAGGCCAGATCTATGGTTCGTTGCACATGGACACTCTGACATTTCACTCAGCTTTGCAGGTGGGGGTACCTGCAGCCTAGAAGAAGCAGGGGATGGTGTAAAGAGCACAGTCCTTACCTGCAGAATAGGGCTTCTGTCACGAAAATATCCTGAGTAAGATACAATTTAGTGCACAGCTTAGCCAATAGCTGATTACTGCCTTAAACGCTTGATCYGTAGGAGTAATTAGCTTKKKSCCCYYCYTTTTTTTTTTTTGTAAGAATTGGTGTGATTGCAACACTTTTATATATGAAACACTAATCCAGTGTTTGTGCCTAAATGAGTTTTGTTGTTAGAAAATGTTTCTTTGTAAGTAGTGAAGAGCTGATGACCAGTAATGTTTCAACTAAACTGCTTCCACTGCTGCAGGTTTGTAGTGGGTTTTCAACTACATTGTAAAATTCACCATATTATATCATTTTAGTAATGCATACTTCTGTGATGAAAATTGAAGAAATCTAGTCCTGGTTGGTGAAAAGTGCTTTCAATAATTTTTCAATAATTTTTCAATAATTTTTCAATAATTTTTGTTGGACTCTTCTGTGCATTCAGGCAGCCCAATTGCAAACAAACTTTTTTGGGGTGGTATATGTTTATCTATAATTAATTACTCACAGGATGCTTAATCATTGAAGACATAACTTAGCTAGAAATACCCCAGTAGAGAAAGATGGCTCCTGCACTGTAACCAATAAATTAAATACATGTTAAACTTGGGGGAGTTTGGATGGAAGGAAGGTAGTGCAGCTTTGATTATTAGAAGTGGATACTAGAAAATACTTCGARCTGTCTGTTGCTGCTTCTGCCAGTGGTGTACTTGGAAATTTGAAATCAGTTTCTTATCCTCTCTTGATCTCTGTTTCTGCTTATATAATGGGCAATAAATCTGGCCTACATTGCTTTGGGTTTTKKKGKTTTTTTCTTTTTTTTTCTGTTTGTGCAGTTCTTAAAAGCACTCTGACGATAAAAGTCATGATGTGAGTTCATAACATTAAATAACTGGACTGAGTTGTAATGGAATGTGCAGAGCTTCCCTGGGCTGTGGTCTGAGCAAGATGTTAACAAAGGGAAGGATGAAGTCTAGGGCCAGTGACATTGGTTTTGTGACTCACTGAAAAGTTACAATGTTGAAGTCAAAACCCCAGGAGGTTGAACTCAACAAGCTGTGCTAACAGAATGGGKACAGAGGGCCACGTTAGGCCAACCATTTCCTCTTGTTCTCTGTCAACAGCTGCAGGCAATTGAGAGCAGTGTCATTTAGTCACTGATTGCCTCCATTAGTATGAAAGGCAGCCTGGCTTCAGAGTTTTAAGAGATGATTTAGTATTGAGCGATGGGTAACATGTGCATATTTTGCAGAAAGCCCAGCCCATTCCTCTGCTCTACTAAAAATATCATCAGAATTGCTGTGAGTCATTTGTTTGATTTTAATTATCTTGTGATTAAGGTGCAGTAAATTCGTTTCTTCGTCGTTTTCGCCTTCTGTCTTGCATTACCTGCCCCTGGCCTGCATTCCTGGCATTTACACTCGCCCTCTGTGCTGATTGCAGTGGCATCCTGTGCTGACCATGCTGAAGGAGCGCATTGAAGAGCTCACTGGCTACACCTTCAACTCTCTTCTCTGCAACCTCTACCGAAATGAGAAGGACAGTGTGGACTGGCACAGTGATGATGAGCCATCACTGGGAAAAAATCCYGTCATTGCCTCACTCAGTTTTGGTGCTACTCGGATCTTTGAGATGAGGAAGAAACCTTCCCCTGTGAGTGTTCATAATACACTGAGAGAGTCTTATAACTACTGCTATGTTTGCTATTTTCCCCTTCTTTAAGGGAACTTAATGAAAGCAGAACTTGTAAAAGTTGTGTGGAATAAGTGTAGGGATCGAGAAATCTCTCTCATGAATTGTGACATGCTGAGGATGGGCATGGGACAGCTCTAATAATGTGCAGCAGTGTAGTGTAGTGCTGCAGTGAAATTGGAACTTGAGCAGTCTCCTGCAGTCTTCTGCCCTTTACTGGTACTTAAAAGGAGATCAGTGATGCTGGAGGTGGACTTAACACTGTACAAATGAATCAAAGAGTCGCTGCCATTTTCTTAAACTCAGGCCAATGTTATGTAATGCAGATGAAGAGTAGTTCTGACTGCTCTTGTAAGTAAAAATCTTAACTTAAAAATCTTAATGTTTGCATTTGGATGTGTGTGCATTCAGATTGAGGGCCAGTGAACAAAGGGAAGAAGCTCATTTCTTTTCYATAAAATACAKTGGAAACTGTCRCATCGTATTTGCAGACTAAACAGASATCCTCTACTTTGATAAGAAGAGGTGTGGAATATACTTTCAGGAGTTAATTGGTGATTCAGTAATGAATACTTTTTCTATATAAAATGATGTGCTTGGGAATGCTGTCTTTACAAGCCACCKTAAACTTGCAGTTCATATTTGTCCAAGTAAAGGATTCACCTGTGTTGAGAATACAGGCCTTATTTTATTGTGTCCTATTTCAGATGAATTTGCTCCTTATGCAGTCTTTGACAACTTTGGGAAGAAGTTTGCTATGTGCTTGTRTTGCTATTTATTCTGAATAAGTAGTACTGAAAACAGAGGTGATTATTACCAGCCTAAAGGAAAACTCTATGCAGACATACTGAAGTCTGCCCATCAAGCGTGACCTTGGGTCGCCTAGTTGTAGACAGCAAAGGTCAGAAACTGAACCAGAAAACAATTAAATAATTAGTACTTTTCACCAGTTCTCCAGTTTGTAAATTCTTTGTTGCCTGAAGTGCATTTARTCTTGGTCCCTAAGCATGAGATCACATAACCAGTCTTTTATGTCAGTGGGCATAGCATGAGTAAGTGTCCTTGATGCYGTGTTGATAATAAAATGTCAGCTGGAAAGTTCATTCCTCTAGAAAACTCTAAATGGTGTTTGAATTAATTTTAAAAGTGCCTGTGTTCCCCATCGATGAATCAGAATAAAAGACACTTAAACTTCAGTATAAACTTTTTAAGTTCTGTCTTAAAAATCAATCCTAGTTCTTGAGTAAGATGCCTTTTTATATATTTTCTGAGAAGACACCTGCTATTAGCAAAGGGGAAAACATCTGTGCCATTCATACTTSGCTGCCTTGTTTGATCTGTACTGCACGATTTCTTCCCTTTTCTTCCAGAGATATTATTTTTCTATATTCCCTCAAGCTCTCCTCATTTTTTTTTCTTTAGCACCTTTGACCTGATATTTCTGACTAGCTGAGCCTTGCTACMTGTGAATTGTATTCCTTTTGCAAGYGTGACGTACCTTTTYTCTGAGGTAGAATCCCCATGTGCAGATCTTTGAAACAGTTGCTATTAAGTGTGTCCTGTGCTTGAGGGAACTCATACTYAATAATTACATGGCACACATTACGTATTCTTTGCATATTCCCAAAGCCTGCAGTTTCTTGAGAGCATCGAATGACAATAGATGCTTTGCCAAGTGGGAGTTACAAGAGGCTCTGATGGAAATTACAACCTTTCAGGCTGTACCACCAAAGAAGTAATTTTCATAGTCTATTGTACTGTAGCATACTCTCTTTCATTAAGAGAAAGTCAAAACTGGTTGTAGATCTTTGAAGTTTGATCATTCCTTTGTTAAAAACCAAGTTACAGGAAGAGGAATGTGATCTAGGGAGAAGGAATTCAGATTAACAGGCATTTAGGCTCTCCCTGGTTTTCAGTCTGCCATAGTGGGTTTTCCAGAGTTAGTCTTCATTGATGAGGGAAATAGAAAGTAAATCCTTTTCCTCTCAAAATTAAACTTCTTTGAGGGCCACTGTTCTGTGATTTCAGATTCTAGGGTTTCAAAGGCCTTCTTTTCCCTCTGTTCTTGTAAGCACTTTTAAGTATGTTGAAATTAAAGATGTAGTGAATATACAAGATGAGAAATACTATGGTAGAACTGGGGTTAAATGGTACTGGGGGGAAAAAAAGTGGTTTCCTGTATGRGATCATGTACTGAGTACAAAACAGTATGTGTACCACAAATGAGGTTACAGCTTGAAGAGCAGTTGAAGATTACTAGATTGGAGCCTTCAGAGACTTCAGTTTGTGTTGATATCTTTACAAGTATTTTCTAGATTATATCTTGAAATGTGGATGAACCTGATAGTGAACAAAATCCCATTTCTCTGACTGAAAAGATGACCAGTAGTGTTGAGAGGCTGGGGTTTTTGTGCATATTTATGTGAATTTTGACAGTTGTCTGTTGGTAATTTGTTAGTGTTTRTGTAAGTCACTTTGAAACAATCACACAGTCTGAAATACTTTTTCACTTGGCAAAAATGAAAAAAAGAAGGTTTAAGCGTTTTTTTTTTTTTTGTTATCCTGAAAATTGTTCTAGGGTGAGGGGAAGGAAAGGTTCAAGTCCTCTGTTTTTCTTTTTGATGAGCAGTGTACTGAATAAGTGTTCATCATATAATAGAGGGCAAGGGAGTGTAGAGACGTGCATAAACTATTTGTGTCTGCTTAAGCAAGTATCCTTTGTGGATAAATAGAAATAATTCTTACCGAATTTCAGCCCAGTGCATGCAAAAAAAGCTGCAAATACATTTCAGGTGTAAATTCCTCACTGGAACAAGGAGACTTTGTGGGAATTAACATGACACCAGTAACTGTTTTATTTTGCCTGCTGGAATCTTTCTTTTTAAGCATTCTTTTTTCTAAATACATCCTTTAGTGTTTATTTGGACCACTTACATGAGAGCAGCTGATATTTTTCCTTTGCTTTAAATGGTTTCTAGGTTTTTTTGGATGCCTCTTTCATAGTTCAAATTCTGCAGTGATCTGGTTTCTTCTATTTTCTTCTTCTAGRTCCAGTAAATTACTTTAATTTTTCTCCTGCCCACCCCCACCCCCATCGTTGTATCTCCTGCCTACACCGAAACCAGGAGAGAATGCTTTGCTTTAGAGCTGTGATTCATGCGCAGTTCACACAGCTATTGGTTGAGTCAATGAGTTCTCTGTGCTTGCCTACAGCTTAAGTGTCACCACTGTGGCACCGTGACCTCCTCCCATTCCCAACACAGCCTCAAGCCCCCAGTCCCACTTGGACACGATTTCATCCTTCCAATTGAGAGGAATTGATTTCACTCTGTGGGATGGGTCTTTCCAATACAGCCTCAGTAGCATTTTTTATTGCTTGTCACTGCTCAGCTTGAGACAATGCCRTGTTATCTGATTGTGTCCTCCTGGGAGCTGAGTGGGGAGTGTTAGTTCAGCAGGGGAAGGTGGAAATGATCTCCCACTAAACTCTCACGTTCCCCTGGGATGTGCCCTGTGGCAGGGGTGTGGGTGCCATGGGGACCAGCTGGGTGGCTGTCCGGCAAATGGCTGTGTGAGCTGTGGAAGGGACTTAGAGAGCCAGCTGTCAGCTTGCTCTTCTTCMATCTGTAACCAAGGAAACCGATGGGTGCTGGGAAGGGAGGGAGCTTTACACGTGTTAGATAATAGCAGGATGTTCATGGTGTTCTAAGAATTAGCCTTCAGATAGGTCTGTCCTTCAGATGARTCACCGAAGCACAGTTCTTTTTTCCTAGCAGAAGGTAAAGATCTCCTAGTACTTCTGGAAACAACAGAAAAATAACCCTTTGTGAATTAACAGACTCGTTTGAAGATGAGTGTGGGAATATGTAGAGCATGGTAGAAGCAGAGATTCGGATCAAGATGAAGAGGGGTGAACTTTCAGATTGGCACGAAGGAGACTCAGAGATAGCAGTGGCTGCAGAGGAGGAGGAGGTGTCCAGCAGTATTGGCAGGACTTGAGAAGCTGTAGACAAGCAGAGAGGAAGAAGGGACTGTAGGACTGAGGGCATTTAAAGATAGGCCTGTGTAGGCAGGCCAGTGCATTATGTGAGAAAAGGGGCAGGATAACTGATACTCATTATTACTGAATCTGTAGAGAAAAGAACTGCAGTGAGGATTTTGTCAGAGTGAGAATAAACATGTTAAAATGCAGAAGTATTGATAGATAAGACTACTTTGTTGTGAGGGAGGGTGTTTATGCAGCTGAGGGCAGAGAAGTAAACTGGAAAAGAGGATTCAATGAAGATGAAGTCTGAAAAAGACAAGATTTGAAGTTTTGTAAGGATATTTCTCTTRGTAATAGGTCAATAGATGAAGCAGAAGAGCATAAGCCAGCATTCTCCATGAAAGCTGATGACTTTTGCCAGTGAAAATGGTTTTGCATCATTTGCCTGTGTAATTGCAATATTATTTACACATTCTTGTACAGAATGTTTCCATTTACTTTTCCTTATAATAGAAAATTCCTCTACACTGTCCAGAAACCATTTTGTACTACTATAGCAATAAACTTTCCTGAGACTTAAGAAACAGACTTGGGTGATTTATGTAGATTTATACTGGATCTTTTCTCTCGTTGGTTTTTATACCATTTCAAGAAAACAACATGGATGGAGTCCAGGAGTTTTTACAGATTTTGTATTCACAGCTTCCCAACAACTCACACTGAGCTTTCCTTAGTTATTAACTGTAGTTATTGTAATTAGGGATTTAACAAAAGGGTTTAACCAGTCTACTTGGATAGTGTAAAGCCTGGATTGTATTAAATGTGTACTCAAAATTATGAAAATTCTAATATACTGAAAAGCAGAACAATTGCTTTACTGTTCTTGTAAGTAGCTGGTTTTGTAAAATATATAGAGAGCTACGAAGTGAACGTAAAGAAGTCACCTGATGCACTTCTTTCCATGTTTGTTACCAGAAAGTCTTTTCCGCCTTGGATGTCAAAAACAAATTTCCTTCATAAACTTCTTGACCTCTGAAAGTCAAGTGAGTTTTCTGTATGTCTGACATCAGCTCTAGAAATGAAAGTTCTGAAATGAGCTTTGATTGGCAGTGTTAGTAATGGTATGTAAGAAAGTAAGAACTWTATATCTAACTTCACTGGCTTTGCAAAGCAAATTGACATAAAAATCTCTTTTTCCAAGTAAAATGAAGCTCAGAGATGTACCATTAAGCCAGAAAGTAGTTGYTGTTTTTACATACTGTCTTTTCTGAGCCAAAAGGCTGTTTTCTCCTAAATCATTTATCTTAGCAGACTTCCTTTTTAATTAAGATGAGCAAGAGATAAAAATAAGCCCACTGTTGTCCATCGACAAAGTGAGATGATGTAATCTTCTGAAATAGAAAGAAGGCATGCAGTGGTATTTCTCTGCTTTTCATCAGCAGTCATGTTTATAATACCTATTTTTGAAATTTTTTCCTTGTTTCCACTGAAGATAAGAAAACATTTCTGGCATTACACCTTACTTTTAATAGAGCATGATAAATGGCTAATAATTCTAGAAGCTTAAAAATATTTTATGTATTGTCCTTGCAAAGAATACTTAGTAATGGTGGTTCTGAGTACCTTCAGCACTCCTTGATTGCAGAGATTTAGTGAGCTTAATCAAWCACCAGTGCAGCCTTGGACCCTTAGGTATCCCCAGGAAATTGAGAAGTCCGGAGAAGACAGCCAGTGAGTGCTGCCAGTTTCACCAGCAGTACTGAATTGCCTTGCTCTGTCACAGGGAAGAAAGTGGCAGTGTGCAAATAGTCAATTACATCAAGTGATACTTTTTATTGTTGGGGATGGGCTTGATACCAACAAAGCTCTTCTGCATTTTAGAAGGTGCAGTCCACTTTCTATCTGCATCTTATTTATAAACACACTCGCCCAGATGGTTTTCTGAAGATTAGATTACCATTTTTCCCAGTATTTGTTAGTTAATCTCATTATTTTGAGTTTTTCAGCAAGCCAAGAATTTTTAAAAGAACAAACCTTCAAGTTGTACTACTGCAGAATTAAGCTTCAGAGGACTTMGTTGAGATTTTTGAAAATGTCAGGTTTCTAAAAGCATTAAAATGTGTTTGATGAGAGTTCTTGGGTCTGTTTAATGGCTCTCAAAACACTATGTCTCCCTTTTACTGATTAGTGTTTTCTTCTAACTATTGGGTTTATGCATAGCCTTGTTAGTTTTCCTGAATGATTCAACTTAGGCCTGAAACCTGGAAACCTTGTAACATTTGTTTCTATTTCAGAAATGTGGGACTTCTGTCAGTGTGAGGCGGCTATACCTGTACCTCAGCCTTAAATCTTATTGTGATAATTCCATTTTCCCAGTCTCTGTTGTCCTTTTTTCCAGCTTCTTTGTGATCTGCTTCTGCTACAAGTGACACAAGCTGAGACTTCTCATCTTTTATCCCCACAAAGTACAATTTCATTTTACATAAATGTGACAAATGCTACTTTGGTAGTAATGGGCTTTGTAGAGTCTGAAGTAATTGCTAGCTTTGGCTGAGTCTGAAGTAACTGAGCATTGTCTCCTCCTAAACACTCAGAAAGTGTGACTTTAGGAGTCCACTAAACATTATAAGAAAATGGAAGAGAAAGCACTGACTAATAAAAACTGAAAAATCCAAAACATTTGTTCAAAACCTCACTAAGATGTATTCTCTCTTAGGGGAACACTGTCATGCTTTAGCAACTCAGCCTGGTCTTATTATYTTTTTCTCATCTCTTTATAGTAATTGTGTATTTCTGGCTTTTTTTTTCCTTTTTTGAAGAACAAATAACTTTTTGTCATCTCTTTGGGAGAAAAACTAGTATCTTTGCTTCTAGAGGGAGTGTTACAACAGCAAACATACTCAGGCTGTTTGATATATGTGGTATACTCTAAACAAGGCTAACCCTCTACTTTTATAGTGAAGAGATTGAGAACTTGTTCATACTCTTTTAGTGAAGGACATTTATTATTCACTATACTTTTTCAAGCAATGTCTTTTTGTAATTTAAATAAAAGACTTCTTGAATCTCTCCCATTTCAACATTAATTAAAATATTTTTTTAACTCTCCCTCTCTCTAAAATAATCCCTGTATTTTGCAGGTGATCTGAACCTTCTCTGAATTTCAGAGAGTTGTTTTCCATTCTTCCTAGACACCTTTCTAACGTAGAAATAGAGTTCTATAAAAGGTAAAATACATATTGCCATTCTGTGTTTGGGGCGGACWCCTGGTTTTCCTATTAACATTTCAGTATTAATGAAATAATAAGCAAGATAATAAATGGAAATTGTTCAAGGTTTGCAGCCGTTTTTCTTCCAGAGCTGTTAAATGCTAAAATGAGAGGACATTTAAGGATTACATAGAGCATTATAATACCTGCCCGTGTGGCGTTCTGGAAGATAGTTCCTATCACACATTGTATGACTACATGAGGAGGTTACTTTCATGATTGAAAAAAACAACTATGTTGCCATCATAGACTTCCCTAAGCAATTTGACTTAGCAGCGTATGAATCTGCTTTAAATTGGAAGTGATAGTGCAAAACAATAGAGAGTTGCTGTTCCCTCTGAGTGGCATGTGTGAGACCATTGCTGGGGTGTCACTGTCTCATTCTTGTATTTGAGGGGTTTTTTAACCCCTTTAAAATAGTTGTGCATAATCTAAAGGCTTAACAAAAGTTTGCAAATTATTTGTGGTTTTAGTCTAGCATTCTGTTTTGCTTAGTGGTGATAAAATTTATGGCAACTTGTTTTACAAGGAAGAAGACTTTTTTTTTTTTTAAATAGGAAAAGCTCTTCATCCAGCAACTAATGCCATAGCATCATGTAATGTTGTAAACAAGACAAATTCAGAATAGCAGAAAGAAGTTATTTTTGGTAGTTAGCTGTTGGAATCTAGGGTGGCTATTGCAGAATGTCTCCACACTGAAGTATTTATTTTAAGGTGCTTCCAGAAGGTGTGCAGCCTCACTCCAGAATTTTGCACTAAATGCAGGATCTGGTTGTTGAACTTTACTTGTGTTGTCCAGGCAGTGCAATACAATGGCTTCTTTCATTGTTAAAATTCTTGGCTCCTGGACTTCATATGAAATACAGATACAGAGAGGGTTACATAGACTTCTTGATCTTGTAAGAACCTTCTCCTATCTCTTCAGGCTTYTTAAAGCTCTGCTGTAGAGGACTGGTTTTCTACCAAAAGAATGGGCCTGCTTCTTCAGTGTCTAATGTTTCTTTTTAGGAGGAGAATGGAGACTATACTTACGTAGAAAGACTTAGAATCCCACTTGATCATGGGACTCTGTTGATGATGGAAGGAGCTACTCAGGAGGACTGGCAGGTAAGARCTCTTTGACACTGTTCATGTGCTTTACTTGCAGTGCAGTTTTCCACATATGCTGAGGCACTCCCATGAAGCCRTGGGACATTCTGCTTCCAGTGGCACAATTGATTTCTAAGATATTAGTATTGCTTTCTGCCTCAGAGTTTCCAAGCACCCACAGAAACAACAGGTTTGATTTTATGTGCCAAGTGATGCAGTAGGAGTCAGCTCAGATGTTCCAGCATTAAAGTTCAGCAATGGAGGTTGTAGCCTGCAGTGGAAAGAGCAGTATCAATAGAGAAACTTGGAATATCAGAAAGTTGTAACTTAAGAATTCTCCAGTAATGTACAAAGGCTTTTTGTTTACAGTGACCTTGAGCAGTCAGAACCTGATTTTTTTACCTTATGTAAGTGTTTAGAAATATGAATTAAAAGCCATCACAGGAAATGAAGGTTTTATTCATTGTTTGATTACCTGTATTTTAAATGCACAAGCTCATGGTTTGTTGTTTTCTTTTTTTTCTTCCCCCTTAATGCCACTTACAGCATCGAGTGCCTAAGGAATATCATTCTAGAGACGAACGGATAAACTTGACATTTAGGATGATTTATCCAGAACCTGATGGAGTTTGGAAGTGAAGAGCCACTTTGGACATTGGTAGATATACGCCTGTAGCAGATTTAGAGCCTCAGATTGCTACAGATTTAAAGGAAGCCTTACAGGAACAGAGTTCCTTGAAATGATGGGGAAGACAGTTGATATTATGAAGATCTTTGGCAATCAGAAGCTGCCTGTATTATGTGGACAGAAATTATATGTTATTAGAYGATAACTAAATCACAGGCTTTACGTTTGTGAACAAAGAGAACACAAAGCATGTGAAAGGTTTGAGAGGTCCCAATTGGAGCAGACAGATTCAGTGAGCAGATGGTTTTGTGCCTTGTCTCTCCTTTACTCCCAAGTCGTGATCTCTGTTGGACGTAATGACAAGATGGGRTTCTTTGATGTAAAGCCAGCTCTGTGTGTCTGTACAGAAATGAGAAAGCTACACTTGGTGATGATCTCTGGGTATTACTCATTACTCTAAAGGGTAGTGCATTGCTTTTTATCTGTAGGTTGCAGGGTCTTTTCCAATTAAGCAGTTTCATAATTTAAATAACTACTTGAACTGTACTGATGTCTAGTGGACAGAGGCTTAAGGCTCTCTTTTGACATGTTCTCTCTAGTCAGACTTTATCCTGTTTATCCATGTAGACAGGACAAGGCCAAAGCAATCAACAGAGATACCTGATGAGCCTGCTTCTGGGTCAGTGCATATTGCATTAAAGAATGCTACTAAAGAACTACTCAGAGGGTTATCTCTTGAACCTCTGCTGTCAYGGATCAGCAGTCGGCACCTCAGACCTAGTTCCAGTTGACTTGCTGGAGTCCTTCAAGCTTTCCTGCTRCAACTCAGCTGCTGCAGTCTGGATGTTAAGTCAGGAGTGCTGCMTGTGAGGTTGAGTTCTCACTGCAGCTAAATATCATCAGTGTATTGGATCAAATCATGGGTTTGGTCCATCTTCCCTGTCTGCCTGCAGTAGAATCTAAGCAMAGGTAAATACCCTATGCCTTGTAACACGTTAGTGTTGTTAAGCAAGTTAATGTCCCTCTTCACTGTCAGAATTAACCGGTGTTGAGAAAATTTCTGTCTTCCCTTAGCCACCATTTGTTGTGGTTTAAATTCTTACTTGATGAGAGCAGTCAAGTTATTAATACTCAGTTATGCCCGTGTTTTAATGTTATTGATGACATAAAGGACATAAATGYTGAGCCATTTCAGTCCCTGTGGTCTGAAATTAGGCAGAATAATTTCCTAGAAGCCGCTTCGCTACCTAAGTCACCATACATTATTTTTCTAAAGTGAATGAATGTTATTATAAAACTTAAATTTGTTATCTGGTATCTTCACTTTTGTAYAGAAATGTATATTTTATGTTATTTCCTTGTATTTGAATCTTTTATCTAGGCTCTGAGATGTATTTCCTGGAAACCAGAGTTGAAGTAGGCAGACACTTACTTTCATGTTTACATTCTTTGGGTCAGTGGAGCTTTTTTGTGCACATCCCTTGTATGTGTGTCCAGGTTTGGCAGTCTTGACAGTGGTTTTCCTTAACCAAGGGACAGTACTAATTTCCCAAGGTATTCTGAGAAGGCAGCACTTYTGCCTGTTTCAATTCATACAAGCTCCACTTATTTTCACTGTGTTAAGAGCAATCATGCTRCGAGAGAGCGTAGGAGATGGGGATGAGGTGGAAACTTTTAAACTCCCAAACCTCAGCCTGTGCAAATTGCAACTCACTTAATTTGGTGAATCTGTGGCACATAACTAACAGCAGGGCCCTGGAGGCTGATGCTGCTGTGGAAGAGCAGTTTTTCACTTCCTTTCTTGGTTTCAATTTGTCATGTTAGCAAATTTTGGTTTAGTTTCTTTACTTCCTTTGATTTGGGAAAAGACCAAGTTTTCCTCCCCAGAAAAAAAATGATTTATGGGAGAAATGTTCTATCCCCCAGCACTCCTTTTGTTGCTGGAGTCTACTGCATTCTGCTTTCTCTCACGTGTCAGCTTTCCTGTATCCAGACCTGCAGACAGTGAGGAGAATGCATATGGCATCATTCCCCAGCCTGTCCTGTGTATACTGGCTGCAACGGGAACAGTTGGCCTAGAGGTCAAGTTTCTTTGTCAGCTGGGAACTTGTGGGTCCTTCCTTCCTCTCCCCACCTCCTCCCCAAAAAAGTCACCTAGCCAGGTGGCAGTAAATTGCAACCTCCTGCCTGCTGAGACAGCACAAAATGGCTTTGAGCAGAGGAGATTCCAGCCCCGAGCTCCTCAGGAGACTTTTCTGCAGGGACATTTTCCCTGTCTGTAGAAATTTGTTCCTGAATGCTACAGGCACTTTTACTGAGTTCTYCAAATGGGTGTGCACAAAAAGTGAGATTTGACAAGTCTTGAGCCTGGTGGYATTCCCATGGCACCTGAAGATTTTTCACTAGAGATCAGAGCAACTTGCGAATTTTTTGTGCTTCTGTTCAGCCTGTTCTGTTGTTGCAGTCAGGTGCAGAGGGCAGCTTGTTTAGAATGGTAAATGTGCAGTCAGGTTCCATTCTTTTAAGTTAAAGATAGGTGGAGGAACCTTTCCCCTAGTTAYGTGGATTTGAAAACAGTATTTCTAAAAATGTCATCCGAAAGACATATTTTCCAGTTATAAAGCTTTCTTTCTTCCTTTTCAGGATTGTTTTGACYGTACAATATTCTCAGCCAAAAACTTTTTGAAAAATGATCTAAACTCAGAATACACTAAGTTGAAGTAAAATACATTGTTTATATGTACACAGAGGATTTGAGGGCAGGGGGTGGCCTGGGGATCTTATTTTTGTGGTTGGCACCAGATTCTGTCCATCTGAGCTGCTGCAGCAGCTGCCAAGAGCTGCTTTGCTTACAGAACGCTTCTGTGTCATTATTTTTTTAATGTGAAAGATACAAACTGTAGGTTTACTTTTTTTTTGTTTTCTTTGAAATATAGAGTGGTTTGGGTTGGAAGGGACCTTGAAGATTTCAGCAGAATATGTGTACCTCTTCCAAAAAATGCTCCAAAATTGCGTTTTTCAAAATTGTTCATCGTCTGTGGTTTTCAAACAGATGGAATGTAGTAACCCCATGTAAGGTTCCCTGTTCCAAAACAGCCATCAACTTTTCCAAAATGTAATGGCCCTCAGATTTGATGATAAGGAGCAGATGAATGGAAGCTGTCTTCAGTCAGGATGGACAGTAGCTTACCTTCCTGAGGGAACATACAGGATGGAGCTGTTCTGAAAAAAAACCCACAACTGGGTCCATATGTAACCATTCATGTATTTATCAGCTATATTGGCTGTAACTTCATTAATTAGCCATACTGGTGTCAGGCATCACTGTGTCCCCATAACTTGTAATCATTTAATCACAGAATACTTGAATACTCAAGCACAAASTCTTGGTGAGGTTGGAGTATATCTGATTGAGTACTGCACTTGTGGGCCACAATGGGTTGATCTGAGCACACACCGTTTAAAATCAATAGCAAAGTTCTGTCACTTATCTGCCCTGYTTTTTTGGTGTTGTGGCTTTGGGTTGGGTTGGGTTTTTTTTGTTTGTGTTTTGTTTGGTTTGGGTTTTTTTTGTGAAAAAAAATCTTTAGGATGTTCAGTTATTCCATCTGTGTCAGATTAATTCTACCTGTGTCTTTTCTGCTTGTCATGACTGACAGGGTTAGTATAGCTATACATAGTAATTTAATAACTACAAATAGTAATGTAGAAGRAGGGTGCTAGGAAGGGGTTAAGAAATCAGAATTTTTATACTATAGTGTTGGCAAAATACAGAGGACTGTTCTCCTGGGGTTTGGGATAAAAGACGTGTGTGTGATGGGTGCACTGAATCCATAACGCCGCCTCCTCCTGAAGTGCTGCTACTATTGCCTTAGCTCAAAAGCATTTAACACCCACTTTGCCTTTTCTGGTCATAAACCTTTTCAGAGTGGATTTGAAATCTGCCTCACTATGGTTTGTTTTCAAAGTGCTGCTTTTCCATCCTTGAGATTTCCATAGCAACCTGGATAATTTGTTTAAATTGGAGCATCCTGGCCTGTCCTGCCTGCACCTGAGTTTTGCTGAGATCTTGCAGGTATCATCTCTTCTTGACATACTTGGGAGAGACTGGTGAGGGTTGGCCATGAGAGCACTGGCCCTTCCCAAAGAGTCACCCACTCATCAAAGTGACAGATACGTGCTTTCTTCTCTATTACCCTATTTAATTTACCTCCTTCTCCTGTACCATTCAGTACGGCTTTGTGGAGTTATTGCCAAGRGAATAACTTGAAGCTGGCAGGACTTTCGTGGCTCATGCTCTCAGGGAAAGCACCTCTCAGGGGAGCTATGAGGCCTTGTTTTAAGTAAAGAAAGTGGGGATTGTACTGAAGAATTTTAATCAGAATAAGGAGCAAGGACGTCTGTTCCRTGGCCCCCATTGTTTGTTTGGTTCAGGTTTCCCAGCAGCAACAAAAACTTTGCTCTGTTCACACAAGAGGTTTTGCTGGCTGAGTGAGATTTAGAGCAAAGTCTTCACATCACAGTGGATCATCCTGGCAGGCAGGGCTCACTGGATCCAGGATGGTGCTCAGCTGAAAGTTGTTTCCATCTATACTTGTGTGTGCAGCCACTTTGCTGATCACAGGGAGTGTTAGTTGTTCYGTTGCTCTGCTCCCATTGTGGAGGCATCACAGATCCATGCTGAAGAGTGGGTTGACATTACAGCTGGCCTCTGAAATGCCAGTGCCAGTCCCCTGCCCCTGGACATGTGTTTGCAGCAACATCCTTTGCCAAGGCAGGCTGCCATGCAACCTGCAGTGGCTGACCTTGGGAAGTGAGCTGCCAAAGCTTAATCCTTTAAAGCAAAAAAAGAGCAGATAAAAGGGCTACTTGGAAGAGCACGTGGACTAGAAAGAGCCTCAGTGTTGGATGGGATGGGATTTGTAGCTGTGACTTATCACAGAYTTATCATTGGATCCTCATCATCATTAGGGAGATCTGCAGGAAGGTTTCTTGCCCTGAAGAGCTTCTGATGCAGAGAGCAAAAGATAAAGCAGGAGTGAGCGGAGACGTGACTTGCCAGAGGGTATGCTGGCCTACATATCCAACCCACACACCATAGCTGGTTTGYCAGGCTGCAGAATCTACATGGATCCCAGGTTCCCCACGCCCTGCTTTGTGGGGGTGGATCTGTGCCAAGGAGGAGACTGCCCAACTGACTTGGCATGCCTTTAGCTTGAGATATCTGGGGGAGCTTGGAGAGAAGGGGCCACAAGATGCAGGCTCCCCAGTTTTTTGGGAGAAGCAAAGGCAAATGGTGGAAGAGGATTAAAAATTGCCTGATGGTGTTTTCTGTTGGGAAGCAGTGGGAGGGGAAGTGTTGGTCACATCAGTAAGATGGTGTCTGACAAATTCCATAATGCAAAATTTTCCAATATCTTCACTGAGAAAGCCATCACAGTTCATACTAGAGAAGAGATTGTTACCCTGGAATAAGCTGACAAGCCAGCCTGAAGAAATCCTCTCAGGGCAAGGAGAGCAACGAGGCAGGGTAGGCTGGACACAGGACACAGCATCTTGGTGCTGAAGCAGTCACGGGTAAAATAAAACGTCCTGAGCACTGGCTGCTTCCCTGTAAAATCTCTGTATTTTGCACCCATCAGTTTCCCCTTTGGTGATGTCAGCAGCTATCTCCTGGCTTTACTTGCCTTGCAGAGACTAAAGTGGCTCTATTTTACTTTAGAAAATCTGCTTCCTGCTATTGAACAGATCATTCCTCAGCCTTGGGTGCTATGGGCTTTCATCTGACAGGAATGAGGTTATGCTTTTTTTCTTTCTGCTTGTCCACATTAGGACCACTCTGGCTCCTCTCTGCAAGGCAGGGCCTCAGTTGCTGAACCATCACTCAGCAATTTACTGCTGTGATTGTTACAGTTTTTGTGTAAAGTCCCCAGAAAGGTTTAGAGATTGTATAAAAACATCTCAAGGATTCAGTTACTTGAAGCCTGATAGTGCAATTGTCAAGAAACTTCTGTTTTAATCTCTAGACCATAGTTGGTTTCTTTCTTGATTGCTTACAAATAGATTTATAAAGAGAAGAAAAATTGAAATTTATTCTGCTGAAATAAGTGGATGCTCTRCAGTGTTTTTAGCTGCAGAAGAAAATGGAAGATAAAACCCATCAGAAGTGTTACAATCTGATTTGTGGCACCAATTTAAGATTTTTAATCTTGACTCATAAAGCAAAGGCTTCTTTTTGCCCAACCTCCAAGGCAGCCAGAGCCTTTGTGGCCATGCTCTCTGCTGGTCAGGCCTCCCTTGTCATATTTGTGGTCAGTTTTGTCCAAATCTGAGAGAAGTCTCAGAAATAATTCAATTTGTTTGGCTCTTGCAAAGCTCAGCAGTTGGGTACAGAAGAGAAACCCAGACAAGCACTCTGTGCTCTGGCAGCTCTGGGTTACAATGGGCCTTCCTGGCAAGGAKCAGGAGCATCCTCCTCTCCTCGCTGCCTTGCCAGCAGCATTTTTGCT